GATAGAGTTGTATCCTTAACTTATAATTTTATTCAAATTTGTTAAATGAAATACCCAAATGGTACGAATATTTTGAGAAAATATAAGAATGATTTTTACTATTAATAAGGATAGTAGGTTTATAAGTTTAACAAATCATTTTGAGGCACATAAGTAATTTACTATGCTTAAAAAAGTAAGGATATACTATGCAATTAAATATATTCCAAATTCTCATGACTTTTCTAGCTCTTAAGTAGTTGCATAAGTGCTTTGCTAATTTGTTTAATAAGAGTAGAGATTAATTAATTATAATATGTTTAGATGTGTTGAGATATTTTAAGCATTGTTAATGAGCTAAAATAATTAATTCTTGAAAAAGACTAAATTTAGTAACAACCCATATAAAAAAATGCATACCCTTAATTCCTTATGTTACCTGACTTTTTAGGACAAATAACAACAGAGTAAATAAGCAAATGACAACAGAGCAACAACCAACAATTTTCAATTTTTTTTCTTTTACTTTACTTATAAAATCTAAATAAAAAAGAATTCCCAAAAAATGTATAAAGAAAATGGTCTTCTTGGCAAGTTGTTAGTCTTATTAACAAAACCTTCTTTGTTTTCCATTCAAATCCCTAACTTTTGGGCTTTTTCAATTCCTAAAAAAAGATAATAAATTACACATAAAAAATAGATAAAAAGTATCATTATTTGATAAGAGAAATTGGTTGTTAAAATCAAATACCAAGAATCTATATTCTCCAACTAATTATTCACTAAAAAAAATTTAAAGATTTTAGGAAATATAAAAATTGAGTGAAAATAATCAAGAGGAGAAAAAAAAAATTAAGTATTTACCTTTGCAAATGGGTTGACTTGAGAACAAATTCAATGAAAATTATAAATAGTTATTTGATAAAAAATAGATAAGTTTTTTAGGAAAAAAATTTAAAGGAAACTTATTTTTTCCTTATATCATGAATTGTACATAAAGAAGGAGAAAATAAAAAGGCTAAAAAAAAAATTGTAATTACACAAATAGTTGCTATGCATAATATATATATATATATATATATATATATATATCCACACTAAAGGGAGGAGATGAAAGAGGCCAAAGGGAGAAAGTTTAGGTTTTCAAGATATATATATTGAAGAGAGAAGGAGAAATAGGGTAGAAAGGTGAAAGGTTGCCGTTTATAGGATAATTGGTGTCCGTTAATGTTTATAAAATTTATATTAAATGTAGAAGATGAAGGACGTTAGAAGCTAGTAGAAGTTAAGAGTGGCGGGAAGGGATAAATGTTTTGATTTTTAAGATATTTAATGCTAAGAAAATTTGTATTAAAGGCTGAAGGGAGAAACTT